GCATTCAGATAACTGCCCCATTCCCATTTGAGGCAATCTAGGCTTCCTAACATTCCAGGGAAGCCGTGCACATTTGAATGATGAGCATACAACTATTTGATGTCAGTAAAAGTTGGTTTGCACAAATATTGTAGACCATATAATCTCATGACATACTTACAAAATTTGTGAAGGCTTTGTCATGTAGTATGTTTAGACATCCTAAGATTCTCATCTAATGCATGGGGGGAAGTGGCATATGCTAATTAACGAAGTGCAAGGATGTATTTTTGTAAAGGAGTAAAACAAATTGTACCTCTAGCATCTAAACATTGTTGAAAATATGGACACGCTGCTGTGACGTTGTTGACAATACGCAAAAACTGACTTTTATGCACACAGAACCGTCGACGGAAATAATATCCTTGAAACGTGGCGTTTTCGGCAAAGTAATTATCCATTAGTCGTTTATTAACCACCTCACGATGTCTTTGTATGTACCTTCTTTTTCTCTGGTGCGCATTATACACATTTTGTTGCCGTAGTTCTTCGATCTTCTGTTTGGCCTCCTGAATAACCTCTATGGTCGTTTCAAGCAACGCATCAAACATGCGTGATGAAGACGATGAAGATGACATTTTTAGAGAGAATGTTTGAGAATTAGAAGATGGTTTTGATGTGGTAAATGAATAAATTATGTTGTATTTATAGGAGCTTTTTTTAACACTAAATACAAATATAGTCATTGCCTTCTCCCATTGGTTACATTTACTCGGTCAAACTCGACACATTTCCACCGAATTGTTGAGACAAGCTCGGCCTCGGCCTCGGCCTCGGCCTCGGCCTGGTGTTTGTCGAGGTTGCCAAGCCCACTCCCACCATCCTAACGGGGATCTGACGAGGAAGCCCTAACACCAATCCCAAATAAGAAGAAAATATGTATCTCTAAAGAAAATAACAAAAATGAAGAAGGAGAAGGACAACCGGAGAATGTAGTTCTAACTTTTTTACTTCTGTGTCTGTCTAGTTTTTTACTTCCCGCCAGAAATTGATTGTAAATCGATGACTAAGAGTCTATTACAAATCTAGAGAAGATAATGAGAGGGAAAAGATAAGTAATTGAGTATATTGCAGGTCTAAAGAGGAAAATGAAAGTGGAGATAGAGGATAATAAGAAGGGAGACATGATGTTCTTTTGCCTTTTAGTCCACTGGAATTAAGAAAAAAGGAAAATGGCTTTAAGAAGACAGGGAAAATGACCCACATGATGTCAAAAGGCTAATGGGTTTTATTTATATATATATTTTTTTATCTAGTGAATATATGCTAGTATTTGTTTATATAATTATTAAATTATTTTTTTATTATTTGTTTTTATTATAATGAGATTACTAACTTATTATTTTATTTATTTATGTAATTATTAAGAAGTTTTTCTATTTTAATCTTATTATAATTTCTAAATAGAAGAGTAAAATGATAATTTTTTATCCAACGCATCTATTCAACAACCTTACCAAACAACATGAATCAGACCTCTTACTCATTCATGCATTCATGTCTCTTAACCATTCAACATTAAATAATTAAGATGTTACCAAACGAGCCCCTAAGTTTAAAAACATCTTCACAAATATGATTTCCATTGATTATTCGTTGCTTAAATTCAATATTTGTATATAATTCTGATATGACCTTATTTAACTAGATATTTTAGGTCATTATCTTAATATATTTGATTAAAATGTTATATTTTTAGATATATGATACTTAATATGCTTGAAAATATTCAATTACAGTTAAAATGAGAGTTGGGATGCAAAATGAGGAGAACAAAGCTGAAAAAGACACAAAAGATGCAAAAATGGATGTTGTTGGCAACTTGACCCCTCTTCAGTGTTTTTGTCATATCTCATGACTCGTAACTCTAATTGACGAGATCCAAGATGTTCTGAAAACTAGAAAACATTTCAGAAGTCTTTCGTGTTTATGCAAAATTCTGATTCCCAGTTCCTGCATTGTGGCAAAGTCATTTCCACGGAATGGAAAATCAAAAAATAAAAATAAAAAATCGTACACATGAAGATTCTATTTTCCACGGCGTGGCAAGTCCTTTTCCACTCCATGGAGCCGCTGAATCTATAAAAACATGAGATTCCCAACCCTAATCGGTGTGCAGCTTTTGGCAGGATATAGATGCGACTTTTACTTCGTTTTGAAGTCCAAAAACCCTCTAGTTTCGAGTTTGCTTGATGATTGTGTCTAGCAATCTTTTTGATAGGTCTTAGGCAAAACAAATAAACTTAAAACCGTTAAGTCCACATGCAACCTAAAGATCTATGTTTTCACTATTGAACATATAACTAACAACATCAAATAAGAAATCCTAGAAACCCTAGGTATATTTCAAAAATCATAATAGGGTTTAGGTTTACATACCTTTTTGTTATTGTAGTAAATAACAAGAATCCTTCACTTGTATATCTTTTGGAAGCAAGCACCATAATTGTCGTGCCTCTAATAGCTCTCACCCAAACTAGCAAGAAAGAAGACTATAGAGAGAGGAAAGGGGGGAGGGGAGAGGGTATAATTTTTGAGTTATCTCTCTGGAGGTATGAATGACCGAAAATGCAAGGCTCAGGGGTCTTTATATAGTGGTACAAGGAAACCATAGATAACCCTGATTTAAATTAATATTTTAAATCTGGTATTTATCGGATTCCTTATTTATCTACATGGGATATTCTTGAAACCCTAGAATATCCTCCCAAAACCGTCCACCCTTAGGGTTGGAAGGTTCTGGAGCCTTTTGCTCAACTATTGAAAAATTGCACTTTAGACCCTGCACTTTTAATTAATTCTATTATCCCAACATTAATTCTAATTAATTTCTGATCATTTATTAATTAAATAATAGCTTTTCTAATTAACATATTATTTTTATAATACATTAATAAACTTTTTATTTTAAATTATTAATCACATAATAAATTAATCTCTCTCTCCAAAAGTCATATTGTCCAATTGCTAGGTTTGAGGGCAACCAAAAAGGACTGTGCTACTATCAATTCAAGTATATACCAATTATAGTTCTGAGCTTAGACACCTAATCCAATAGTCTCCCACTTGGACAAGTCTATAACTATAACTGCCAATACAACTTCTGAATTGATCAGCAAATTGTAGCTTCCAAAAGCCGCTGCCGAACTCTGACCCAGTCAGTTACGTGTCCTAAGACAAGTGATCATATAATCCTCCATTTTGCAAGATATCATTCGTACATGAGACATGGAATAGAATCAATCTCTTTGTCTAATACTTTGTTTCCCTATTTTTGATTTGTGATGATATATGACTTCTAATTAAACACATCAATTTAGTCCTGGTTGGGCCTAGCACTATAAGTCAACACTAAATCACAAAGGGGCCCAAAGATATCACTTTTCCCGTTAGGGAAAAAGGAACGAATAAACTTTGACTCATATGCTTGCATCCTTTACTCATCAAATAATGCATGACAATACGTTTTATAAGATCAAGTTAATGATGCGTTTACGCATTACCAATGTACAACCGACTTGTAAATTACAATTCATATATCTCCGTTTCAAGATCATAAGATATTACTGTCTCAGAATTACTCGTGATAGAATCCATGAAGTAATTCTCTGAGCGTGGTTTTATCCAATACTTAAATATCTATTTCTAAGTACTCATGAACATTGCATCAATTTTATTGTTATGTCTAACTCCCTTAGACAATCTACAATCCAGTTCATGACAATCTTAATTCACTACTTACTTCCAAAAGTACGACTGACTGTGGAATTTGAATAATCATATTATTCGGGAAGTAAAACATGCAAAACGAAACACACGAATAAATAATTGACAAAAGGCAGTAAGCAAACTTATAAATAATTCTCCATTAATTTAATCTGTAGTTGTTATGTAATCGAGTATGAATTATAGAATCAGAATGATATGAAAATGATGAACACAAGATCTAAATAATATCTGTTTGGCTCGATTATGCTTTCAATGAGTACAGAGTGTTTTAGATTGCAGAAGAATCCCTATTGAGTTTAGGCTACTTTAGTTTTGTAACTTAATGTGCAAAGAATAAAGAAAAAAAAATGCATTCTTGTTATATGTGAATCTATGGGCCCCTAAGACGTTGTCTAACAAGATCAACTGAATGCTTGTAAAATGGTGTGATTCCCCTTGATTTTTATATTTTTACATTTTATTTTTTCTCTTAGTGTATTTATACTAATCATAAAATACCATATCTACCCCACCCAAATCCAGCTCCAAACCACCCCACCACTAAACCATCGACTGTTATCATCACCAATCACCCCCACCACTAACAAACATTACTCACCACCAACAATCACTCGACCACTGGCCACCATTAGTCACTACAAACCACCATCACCATCATCAATTACCACCATCAATTACCACCACCAATTACCATTACCAATCACCAACACTACATCACCTTATAACCATCATTACCTGCCACCACTACATCATTGCACCACCACCACTACCCATATGTTGTTGAAAACAAATATAGAAAATATTACTGAAAACTAGTAAATTCAACATCCTATTACCTCCTTCGGAAAATCAAAAAACTTGTCGGAAGTACAAAACCAAAAACAAGACAAGATACAGGGGGAGGACGTCATCGTGGCTATAGTTGCAGTAAAGAGAGAGGTGAGCTCCAAGGCGACGAGCGGAGACGTTGGAACCAACGACTATGGATGGCATAGGAGCTGTGGTCATCAAAGTTGTAGGAGGCGAAATAGACAAAGACAAAGAGTTGCTAACGCGAGAATTGTTGATGATTGAATTCTGGAGATGGAGACGCTAAGAGCATGAGAATGATGGATAAGTGATTGGTCTAAAGGGTAGCCTTTTATGGTTTTATTTTCAACTTTTACAGAAATAGTTCTTGAAATTATTATATAATGTCAATGAAACAAAAAGAAATTAAAAAGAAGGATACAATGGTAATTTCACAAGCAAATCAATAGAGTTAGGCCATGTTTGATAGATATTTTTTCAGGTCCAAACAGATCTTTCTGGCTGAATGGACCGGAAAGACTGTTTGATTTTCACAAAAAAATGGGTATTTTCCGATAAGATATGTCTTTCCCATAAAACTCCAAAACCATATCTTTTCGGTTGAATGAGCCGGAAAGACAATTGTGTCCCAAACCTCGTCTCTTTCTTTCTAGGATTATTAAGTTTTTTAAAATATATATATATTTTTTTAATTTTTTATTGGATTATTATTTTTTTAATGTATTATTATATATTAATAACTATTATTCTTAGTATATAATATTTATGTGTTAATAAAATTTATTTTATTAGATTATTAATTTTTTTAAATAATTTTTTTAATTTCGGATCAATTATTTTTTATTAGATTATTATATATTAATAAGTATTATTTTATTAGATTATTAATTTCTTTTAGTTAACTTTTTTAATTCATTTTTATTGGATTAATTCTTTTTTTGGACAACACCACCATCATCCTAATTTATTTTAAAAAAATTCATCTATCCCACCATTATCGACATAAACCGGGTCAAGAACCACACGTTGGGCTATAAAAAAAAGGCTAGAACAACAATGTAATATGATTATTTTTCATCATTCAACATAATCAGTCAGATGTATAATAAAACAATATGATTTCTTTTCCGGTCAAAAAACTTTTTAATACAGTACTTTTCCAAACATAATTTTCCTGGACAACAACTATCAAACGAGACTTTGGTATTAAACACCATGCATATACATAAAACTTTTTAAAATTTATATTCATAGATGTAAACCATAAGAACAAAAAAATGTAATTTACTCTATGGGTCAATTGAAATTCTTTTGTTGCAATTATTACCCAAATACAATTGGATGCATGTGGGACCAATCATAATTCACTTCATATTTTAAAGTTTTGTCACACGGCTAGTCGCTAGTGAGAAGAGCCACCATCTATTTTTAATAGTGTTAATAACTTATGTATAGACTAGAAATTTATATTTTTTTGTTATCAAACTGTTGATAAAATATTTTTTTTATTAATTATATATAATAATACTTTAATTTTTGTAAAAAATATTATTAATTTATGTATACAAGATTCGATAGAAAATAGATTATAGTGACATACACCAGCATCTCTTGTCCTCTCCTGCGCTCCAAAGGGTCCATCGCATCTCTCCCTTTGATCCAATAGACCATCACCCCAGCATGCCTCTATAAGTTAATCAATCACCTCTGATCGATTAATTTCAAGTCGAAAGTGCAGAAGTTGCAGATTTTTGATCTTTCACGCTCGTTTCAGGTTTTTCTTATACACATCTCACTTGATTATCATGATTTCGTATGTCCTTTGTTTATTAGGTTAACTTCGTGATTATCGACCGGTTTTGATTGTGCTTAAAAGTTCGAAGTCCCACACTTCGTTTATTCCGTATTGTGACAAGTCAGATTCTTCGATTGCATTTCTTTTTCGAACTTTTAGTACTATGAAAATGACATGAAATCCGAATCGGTAGGCTACTTATCAACTGAAACATTGTTGTGAACAGTAGAAAATAGGAGAGAATTTTAGGGTTTTTGTCGAATATGCATGTACGAAAAAACAAGTATTTATGATTATACGTTATCTAATTATATGCATACAATTGCGCAGACGAGTTACTCGATCCAATCATGGCTGCTATACAATGTGGCGTTGTATTCCAGGTAAGGCGCCAGCTATGAGCTCGATCATTTGTTGAATTCTTCTGTTGATCTTGTTATTTATGATTATAATGTGCACTTTTTTGTTGTGTAATCTTTAGGGCTCAGTCAGTGCTTCTCTTAACAGTGATACCTCACTTCACAAATCAATTTTCAAGGTGCGATTGTTACACCAATTTTCTCTGATCCAGAGTTTTAATCACAATTTCTTCTTTCTCTTAAAAGTTCCCATTCTTATGAAAACATGTTTCATCTTCTATGATTGCCTCTCCATCCTTGTACTGAATAATCGATTAGTTGATAAGCTGTAAATAAATAAACCTTTTCTTTGATATCATGTTCATTGCAGAGCAAGAAGATTAGCTATACTGATAAGCCATGGATGTCTTTTTCACCCTTGGAGCTAAAAACAAAGAAAACACCAAGATATCAGTCTGTGATTTCTATGTCATCTCCACAAGCAGTTGGAAGTGCTAAGGTTTCGGTTTCACCTTTGCATCTTGAAGATGCAAAAGAACCTCCCCTGAACACATACAAACCCAAGGAGCCATATACAGCAACCATTGTCTCTGTTGAAAGAGTTGTTGGCCCAAAAGCTCCTGGAGAGACTTGTCATATTGTGATTGATCATGGTGGTAATGTTCCCTATTGGGAGGGACAAAGTTATGGTGTAATTCCTCCAGTAAGTCGAATCTTTAATGAATTGTGATTGTGATCTTTCTTTTTGTAATATTAAGAGGCTTTTCGCGTATTGATTTTTGTGTTTGAACAGGGTGAGAACCCAAAGAAACCTGGGGCCCCTCATAATGTGCGTCTTTATTCAATTGCATCAACAAGATATGGTGATTCATTTGATGGAAAGACAGCTAGTTTGTGTGTTCGAAGAGCTGTCTATTATGATCCTGAGACAGGAAAAGAAGATCCTTCAAAGAATGGTGTCTGTAGTAACTTCCTTTGTGATTCAAAGCCCGGAGACAAAGTTAAAATTACAGGTATGTGAATGTCCTTCCTTAATATCAATTTACAGCTTTCTATCTGCACTCTTCAATCTATAATAGATAAAAAAGTGAGGTAATATTTGGTATGATATGGTATCACAGAAAGAATGGAATTAAACCAATTCTGACAATTGACAGGTCCATCGGGAAAAATCATGCTTTTACCGGAAGAGAACCCGAAGGCGACCCACATCATGATCGCGACGGGCACAGGGGTGGCCCCATACCGTGGCTACCTGCGGCGAATGTTCATGGAATCAATCCCTAAACCAAAATTCACGGGTCTGGCTTGGCTGTTCCTTGGGGTAGCCAATAAGGATGCTCTACTTTATGATGAAGAGTTCCGGAAGTATCTAGAAGATAACCCTGGTAACTTCCGATACGATATAGCTCTTAGCCGAGAGGAAAAGAATAGAAATGGAGGAAAAATGTATGTTCAAGATAAAATCGAAGAATATAGCGATGAGGTGTTTAAGTTGTTGGATGAAGGGGCTCATATTTATTTTTGTGGGCTTAAAGGAATGATGCCCGGGATTCAAGACACTCTTAAGAGAGTTGCGGAAGGAAGAGGGGAGAAGTGGGAAGATAAGCTTTCCAAGTTGAAGAAGAATAAGCAATGGCATGTTGAAGTTTATTAGGTTATGTTTGTTAATGGACAGGATAAGATCGAACATAACAATTGTTGTACTGTGAATCGGATTGGGATAAAATTTTGGGAAGCCTCTTGTGAGGCAGGAAAACTTGAAGAATTTGAATTGGTTGTAACGTTATTACTCTATGAGGTTTGATATCTATATCAGTCATCAGAACATTCCTGCTTATTTATTTTCTACATAGTATGTGCATGTGCTTTCAATTTATGTAAACTCATAGTTTAATTTTACGTCTAATCGGTTAAATCATAAAATCTGAAAAATAGTTCAAAATATACTAAAACAGTTTAATTTTAATATAATTTTCTGTAGTTAAATACTCGTAATCATAATAAATCAGTTTTTTTTAATAATAGTTACAAATTTAATTGTTTATAAAGTTCAAAAACTAAACAACAATGTATTTGCAAGCTCACCAAGTCCAGCTTAACACTTATTTATGACAAATCTTTATGAATCTTTTGTTTTCCTAGTTTTGTTGATCTCTGGCCTTGGGCTTTCTTTGTTACCACCAACTTTTAGGAAACCAAAAGACTTCCTTAATTGCGATTATTTCATCATTCTCTATAAGGTTACCCTTTCTCCCTCTTCTCTCTAATCCGATTACACTTAGAAACCCTAACCCGTCTAAACCCCAAAGCAAATGATCACAATGGCTACTTGGAGAATACATGCAACAATGGCGGAAATAGATGTTCAAAAAAGATACAATAAGAATTTATTATTATTATTATTATTATTATTATTATTTTATTTCAGTTAGAAAAAAACTCTCATCTTGACCATTTTGTAATGCATATAGACATCCTATTATTTTCTCCATTCGTCTACATTATGGTGGCGAGTTTAAAAAGTACATTAGAAGATAATATGTTAACGGTAAGTTGAATTTTGTTGACCTACTAGACATTGATAAATTCTCTATTCATGATATTTATGACATGTTTTGATCATGTTGAGGATGGTAAGCCCTATTCTACCACATTCCAATGCCTTTAGCAAGTTTAGACATAAGTCTGTATGCCTTGGTTAGTGACCAAGATGTTCACGATTTAGTTGAGGCACCAACTCATAGATGTTTTTATAGAACATGGGAAAACCGCTTTGAATACTTGATGTACCCTAATCCACCAATTGTTCATATAGAGGAAGTTATTAAGCCACAACCACCCTAACAACCTAGATGTTCAAGAAGACTTTTTTAGAGTGACATGACACAAAGTGTGGTTGATAGTAGTTCCACACAACAAGACAAAGCCAATGTTACAAAGACTATGGTTGATGCCATTAAACATGATGTTTAGTTAGAGTCAACCAAAGATAACAATGTTAAAGGAGATGTTTGGTTAGAACAAAGAAATTTTAATGATGTTGAAACTGTTAGGCAGGAAAGTGGGGACAATATAAGTGAGCCATTTTTACCTTTTCCAAACTTTTAATTTAGTTGAAGAGGTTAAAGAGAAGGTGAAACGACATGCTATACCATGTAGAAAGAATCAAGTGCAAAATATGGTGTTTTTGATGTTCTTCAAGTGCTCCAAAAGCTCTCAAAACTCCAGAGAAATCCCCAATTTTCGGATGTGCAAAAAGGTCCAAAAGAATCTCACCAAACTTCCTCAAATAGAAGCCAAAAGTAAAATCACGAAATTACCCTTGCAGGAACTCACACGGGCCGCGTGGTATTCTTGTGCGGGCCGTGTGAACAGACTGAGAATAAGTCATTTCCATTTGGTGGGCCTGCACTGCTTAGTCCACTGATCCGATTCTTCTTCATTAGATTATAGCCCACAAGTCTTCAAGTTTTATTCAATTTGAGTCCAATTTGTCTTTTCCAAATCCTCCCTGAATACTCGATCGATCAATCAATTCTGCAATTTTAAATGTTGTTTTCCATCTTCTTTTAAGATCAAACCCATTTTGATTGCCAATAAAATGCCTACAAACTAGCCCATATCTTCTTTTAATCTTCTCAAGTCCATGATTCTTCATTGTCCTCAATGCTCATTCGAATCCTGCAATCCCAAACATCTCCGCTCCATGTTAGTCTTCTAAAAATCTGCAATCATATTCAAATACTAGAAAGAACCCGATTAAAGATGAAAAAAATAATAATAATAAAGGAAATATGCATATAGACTAACTAAAATGAGATGATCTATGCTAAAATAAACTAGGAAAAAAAAGTAATTAAAATGAAACTATCAAGTTGGTTTTGGTCAACATGAAGTTTTTGGTTATTCTGCATGGTTTGATTTTAGTCAATATGCATGCTTTCATTAAGTCAATATACATTGCCCATAATACTTGGTCATGTCATTATTTACTTCAGTCAATGCATATTTGTTTAAGCCATTTTCAAGTCATTATTTACTTCAAGCCAATACAATGTACATTACCCATAATATTTCAAGTGAATAAATTGCCAAAAGATACAGAATACAACTTAGTCATTTCCATCACAATTTACTTGAACATTACCAAACACCTACTAAGAAACAAACACAAAAACCAAACTTCCAACTTCCAGAAACAAATCCACCTTCTCCTTGCATAAGGACACCTAAAACTACTTCTACTAGAGGTTGTTCCACATAATCTTCAAATTCATCATTGAAGCCTAAATTACCATTGTTGTGAAATTCCATCAACATGTCTTTATATCAGTGGTTTGGCAATGGAGGACTGACCCAAGCAAAATACTTGCAATCTTTCTCCTCATCATGCATTACATATTGTTAAACCTAATTCAACCTAAAGTCGGTTAAAATTCAAAAATGTCACAATGACTAACCTAATCGGGGAAACCAATGAATCTCCTTCCAGGGCTTCTGGTACGCCAATATGTCCACTTCCCAACAGGATCTTCACAACGACATCTTGCTGTTAAAGCACCCCTTCTTGCTCGAGAACCATTCCCGCTTTCAATAGATAAGGGCGCCGTTTCTTCCTTCTTTGTGTACTAGGGTTTATAAAACCTACTCACCACTTTCAACAATTAGTTTGAAACTATCATTTAATGACATGGACTCCACCTCAACATGGTAACCTGTTAAACAGAGGGTCACCGGAAAAAAGAGAAAATGACTTAGGAGGGTAACTACCTCTTATCTGTGTTCACATATTGACAACTTCTTTTTTGTACATAAGAAAGCAACTAACTTGTTTTAACTGTTTAAATTACACCAATATTACCTGCTAATATCTGTTTTAACCGGTAACTCAAAGGGAAAATGACTTAGAAGGGTAACTACCTCTTATCCGTGTTCACATATTGGCAACTTCTTCTTTGTTGTACATAAGAAAGCAACTAACTTGTTTTAACTGTGTGACATCCCAAAAATCATGACCAAAAATTTCGTTTTTAATTTAATACTAAAACCATAATTGTCAAACCATTAATTTAATACTCCGGCATCGGGCCCCGCCCGACATCAGGCCCCGCCTGTCTCCGGGCCCTGCCCGCTAAACACATACAATCATATAACATGATAACACATAAAGAAACATACTCTACTGTATCCCTGTCCTAAGAAACATACTCTGCTAATAATGAGATACAGAACCTCGTCCGTACTCAGCTAGTTCCAACCAGGCTTTAGCAGTGCAAGGTGAGTCTCCTCACTGTGTGAATGAGTCTAAGGCCACAATGCCAGCCCATGTAGTCTATGAGTAGGAAGACCCGGGGGTTAGCCCTAGGCATTGTATGCTAGTATGTTATTCCGGACCAAGGTCCGATGCCGGGCGGGTGCCCGAGGA